GGGGACTCCTCCCTCATGGCCCAGCCGGGTTTCAGTAATACATGCCAGATCTGCCCCCTCATCTAGTATTAAGTCCCGGATGAGGGGAGCTTTCTGAATCACAGATCTGGCATTTAGCAGCAGCAACCTGAGACCAGGGCCCTGACATCTCTTGCCACCTGGTCCTTGGGTTGAGTTTTCAGGGCCGGAACGCTATGTTACAGTGAGCCCTCCTTCCCCGGTAATGGCCAGCCCTGAAACTCCCATCGTACCTGCCTCTCCCAAACGTAACGGGATGCTCTGGCCTGTCCCTGTTTCTGTAGACCCCTCCTCCCCTCCCATGGCCCTCGTTCTCCTCGGCAGGCCATTTACCCCATGCACTCCGGGCCGAGAGGTGGGTCCGGGCCCCCATCCACTTCTGCTTCTGCACTCAGTGGAGGGGGCTGCACTCTCGGTCCCCTCATATACACTAAGCAGTCATTCCCAACCTGCATGCCCCACTAAACCCTAAAATAAATTACAATAAACAGAGCATAAAGTTAAAAAACAGTTTAAAAAGTGGGATCATTCATTAACATACATACGACACGCATTCCACATACAAGAGAAGTCCGCGCAGGTCTTAGTTGTTGTGCAAATAGTTCTTAGAGTTTGAAATGGTTAAATGGTTGAAAACCAGCAATAGTCCACAGATGGCATACAGGAGGGTGTCTCGTCTTCCCCCTCTCCTGTAGGCCTGGAAAGGTCCAGAAGTCCGGAGCAGTTTAGGGGTGGTAGAGGGCCTCCCTACTCACTGTGAGTGCCCCCATTCATCCAAAGTCCGAGGCACTGTAATAAGATGGATTAAACAAGTGCTGTCCGAGCTGGTATTCAAGGGACAGTGGCGGGTGGCGATGATCAAAGCGACTGGGGCTGAAACAGCAAGTCCAGGGGCCCTAGAGTTATGGTTGAAGAAGGCTAGATATTCGAAAGCCCAGATAGAAGAGATGCCAGGCAGGGGGAGCGGGAGAGGGCTCCACAGCAGCGATGGTGGGCTGAGGAAGGAACTCACCAAGAAGAAAAGTCCAGTCACGCAAAAAACGGAGAAAGGAGGAGGCAGCGCTGATGAAAGGGCCGAGGCAAAGAAGGAGGAGGGAGGGAGGGGACGTCCGGAAGGGCCATGGTGGCGGCAAATACAGCCAGCCACCCAATTCGCCCAGCCTCGACAGACGTACAGGTCGTTCACCCCCCTCCGGGGTGATGGTAGTCCGAAAAAGTCTCCAAAGGCTCACCAGGTCGGGCGGGCAAAGTCAGGAGATATCGCAGGCGGCAAGAATCAATAAAAAACGCCGCTAGCGTGCAGCCGCCATGAAGCAGCATAGGTCGTTCAACAGCTGCTGAGCGTTGCATGATCCGGAATCGTCTGGGAGTGACGACCTCCCCAGGTGCCTGGTCTCTTCGAGTCCCCCAGATCTCAGTCATCCCCAGGGAACTTCCGAAGGATTATGCAGTCAGTTTGAAGGATTTCCCAGCGCTTTTTCGTCAGAATTGAAACGGAACGAAAAAGCGGAGCGGCCATTCCAAACTCGCACATGCGCACATACAATTTGTGTTGTATTTGTGGAAGTACTTTGGCTTCTAGATGTTGCCTCCATTTATCTGATGTTTTCTTGGACCTCTGTGGGAATTCCAATAGCTTTGAATGCTCCTTTTAGGACTGCAAACAATTCCAGGTGATTGTTGGCATCACCTGTGCTGCAGTTGAGTCCTTTCTCTAGAATCCTGTGTTCTGCAGTGGACAGTGGATGGCCAAGAGTAACATCAGATCAACCATCAAGTAAACAATGCCCCAGTCAAGGAACTGCCAAACAAGCCAAAAGTAAAAATAGCCTAACCAAAGAACCCCTAAGACACCCCCCCCCCTCCATCAACACTGATAGGGCAGCCACTAGGACACACCCTTGAGAGCAAACCCCACTCCCTACTAACACTGATGATGTTACCTAGTTTGGGCAATGAAACATCTGCAAGAAAACAACCAACCTCAGAGAGCACCGAAGACCCCTTTCTCTGGAATAGTGTTCCCCATCCCAGGAGTGGTTTGCTGCTGACGTTACTGCTGGTTTGCTTCGCGCTCACGCTCGCCGCCTGTTGCTTGTGCATGCTCAGTTGCCTATAAATTGTTCTGAACATGCACAGAACATTATAAAATGCCTAAAACACATGCAGGCAACGGCATGGGGGGGCAGGGAACCAGTTCAGGGGCTGGGCCAGCCTGCCATCCCTACTGGTTCAGCAACCCAGTCCTAATTTCCACTACTGGTTCGCCCAAACTGGTGCGAACCGGTAGCAACCCACCTCTGCCCCACCCCAGTATTAGGAAAGCTATGAAATTTGGGAACAATTGTTGAAACAGGGAATATGAATGTTCTGTAAATACATTTTTAAAATTTCTAATGGCATTTTTATTTTATGTGTGCATTGGATTTGTGATATAAACTACTGGAAACACTAAATGCACACTTTCAGTCATTTATGTGAGGAAACTAGGAGGCAGAGGTATTAGGTCCATTTGCAGCTGAGTTATTAAAAGTTATAAAAGGTGAACTAGCTATTTATTTAAATCCATTTATATAACTATTCGTCTCACAACAACTTGGAACAGCTAACATAAAATTAAAACTAATCACAGATAATAGCAGACACAATAACAGCCATCTCTCTCAGGGCTGCTAACAGGCAGCAGCCCCTGGGGTAGGAAGACCACCAGGCCAAGCCCTGCCATGCTTTCCTTCACTGCCTTCACTCTGTAGGGGGCTTCCCCCCCACCAAAAAAAGAGGCATTGATGGCAGCCTCCTTGTCTCTTCGACTTCAGTTTGGAGACTCCAGGCAGGGAGATGGATGGTCCCAGGCAGGGCAGCATAAGGATTGGGTGAAAATAGGTATCGCTGCAGCTTTGTTTTCTGCTCTTTGTGGCTGAACTCTGCAGCTCATCTGGAACAAACGCTGTGGAATATTGGGATGGGTGGTATTTCAACATCAGGCATGCAGGAAGGTGTCGTTAAACCTGGGAATCTAATAAAATATGTAAACATGGCACTCAAGGGCAGAAATCCAGTTCTTTATTCTGATCTTTAACAGGGAGCAGAGAGTCACGGGGATTCTTGTCTTCCTTCTGACTGGGATTTCGGTCTTTCTGGCACCTATTCTCAAGGTAAAGTATCTGAGCCTCATGATGTGGATTTAGAAATGGCCCAGAAATTTTAAACCACCATCTGAAATGACGGGCAACATTAATAGCTATTTATTTAAAATAAAGTTCATTCTGTGCAGTACAGATAGTCCTTAGTTAGTGACCACAACTGGGATTGGCAACTTGATCATTTAGTGCCATGGTTGCTAATTGGAAATCTTGTGACCACAATGGATTTATGACCTCACTTCTCCTTTGATCATTAAGCAAACGTGTCTTCCAACAGTCACAAAATTAGTGAGGACTACTTGTATCAGATTGCAGTTTTAAGTAGTTGATTTCTGAAAAGCACCTTTGACCTTTGTGTCTGTGTCCTTTACCTGGCTGCTTGCTTTCTCTGCTGCAGTATATCCCCATGCCAGTCCTGTACGGGATCTTCCTCTACATGGGAGTGGCCTCACTCAATGGCATTCAGGTATGGACACGGGGGCTTCAGCTGGGAGCTTTGCGTTTGTGCCATCGGTCACCACTGCATTTCCATGCAAGGAGCCACCTTGCCAGGTTGGGCTTCTTCCTGTTTTTTAATTAGGCCTGGTGGAAGAAGGTGAGAAAAAATCGGAAAGGACCCTTAGGAGCCACAAGGCCCCTTTCAAGAAACCAACCAATATTTTGACTTGAAGGAGTCAAAATCTGCTTATCTAACCCTGGCCTTGGTAGCCGCTTTTCTTCAGCCCTTCCAGGCCATTGGCTACGCCCTCCACAAGGAGTAACCATTAGCAGATCCTCCTGATCCAGGAACAGGTGCCACAGCCTCTCCCGGCCATGGCTGCCATCCCTACTCTTCAGTCGGGAGCCATGAATCCAGGAGGAGCCCCACTTTGTCTACCGACTCTCTCTCTCTCTCTGTCAGAGCAGGGTTGCCCAATCCAGAGTTCAGGATGGGAGGGCTCCAGACCTTGGAGACCCTCCAACCCAGAGCCACTCAACTTTGTCAGAGTTGAACTGAAGCCTCAACAGCCTCCAACACTGGGAAGGCAATTTGACAGCCTGACTTGGGCAGCCAGGTGCAAAGATGTATAACTAAAAGTTCAGGGCTGGAAATAACAAGGGCACAAGACAAACCCAGACACTGGTCATGGTAGGTATTAGATGCACCATGCAGACTTTTCCCTCATTTAGGGTCACTGCTGGTTGCAAGTCCTACAGTCCTACAGAGCGAATGGAGAAGGGAGCTTTGTTGGCCATTCAGATGAGACATGGGCAGAATGTAGAGTCGGTATGCGTTGTGCGTGCATGAGAGGGCTCCTCCCCATACCTCCCAGCTAATAAGCCCCAATGTCTGGAATGACATTGCAGTACACGTCCTCAACTCCACACAACAGGGTAAGAAAGCAGAGACTGCTAAGTTCCTTATAAAAGTTGGTTCTCTAGCATTATCATCTGCTCAAGGAAAGAATTATAGCGATCAGAGACATGAGCAAAAGATCAGGATGGCAACCACAATGGAGAGCACAATCAAAGCTCTGCCTGTGTTTTTTGTATATGTGTTGTGTGGGTTGACACTTCAGTTGCACTTTTTAAGCCGGGATATTCTTGGTAAAAATCCTTTTTTAATACACTTTCTTAGATACAGCTGGCAATAACATCTGCTTCTACCTCTTTCCAGTGTTTTCCCCTGCAACCAGTATTAATGTTTCATTGGTTTTTAATAGTTTTGGGAGCGCTGCAAACTCTTCTTGATGCCGGCCAAACACCAACCAGATTATGCCTACCTACGTCATGTGCCCCTTCGAAAAATCCATTTGTTCACTACCACTCAGATTATCTGCTTGGCCATCCTCTGGATCCTGAAATCCACAGTGGCAGCCATTATCTTCCCTGTGATGGTAGGCACCTCCGTATCGTGTCAAAACTTGCTCTGGGGCCACGTATAAATCTTGGTCCGAACAATGTGTTCTTTTGGTGGACATCCATTCTTAAATCAATCAGCAGCAGCCTGAAGCAGGATTGAAGGTTATGGATACCAGCTAACCCAAGGCAGGTTGGTGCTACTTCCTAGTCTAGGAAGGTTGAGAAAGAGGAAGCCAAATTTATGAAGTCTGTGATTGAGGGAGGGCTCAAAGTTCACCATTTTCAACATGGCCCCACATGGTCTCTAAGGCGCCTTCATCTCTGGCTTTTGGATTGAGAAGCAGGGATTCTTCCGGCGTCGGCCCCCGGTTGACCTAAAGGACCACCAGAACTTGCTTCTCTCCACTCCTTATCCAGGGCCATGATGACTCTTAAGTGATTATGGGGCTTCCACTTTCTGGCCCGATCTCTGTGGTAGAGGGTAGTGCTCCACCAGCGGATAGGAGAAGCAGGCCTTCTCCTCGAGTTTTCCTTGGGGAAATGCAGGTCTCCCACCTTCCATCAAATCCAGTAGAGCGAAACAAAACAAGAGCTACTTTGCAGAGAGAAGGACAACCCTTAGAGTTGACAGTGGACTGTGTGGCTCCTAAAGCCCGTTTTAGAAATTCCTGACACATTATGGATCCATAATGTAAGGCTTACAAAATATGGGTTATAAACATGAAGTTTCAACAGATCCTCTAAAGCAGTGTTTTTCAACCTTTTTGTGCAAAGGCACACTTTTTTCATGAAAAAAATCACGAGGCACACCACCATTAGAAAATGTTAAAAAA